TTGACTTTAACATCCTTTTCTTTCAGAATTTTTGAGTTCCAGATTCTTTCCCTCCTGCCTGCCCCTTCCCCACCCACTGAGAAGGAAAACAGTGCATCAATTATTCATGTGAAATCATGCAAAACATTTCCATTCTAGCCATATCATAAAAAAATAAAGACCATTTTTAAGCAAGAAAATGATGCTTCAGTTTGCACTTGGAGCTCATCAGTTCTCTCTCTGGAGGTGGAAAGCAGCTTTTTTCATCGTGAGTCCTTTGGAATTGTCTTGGATAATCGTAGTGATCAGCGTAGCCAAGTCTTCCACAGTTGAACACCATTGCAACATTACTGTTCCAGTGCACTATGATCCCCTGGTTCAAGAAATAATCAAAGTCAAGAGAATGAAAAAATAGAAAACTATGTGAAATACCTCCTTGGAAAAACAACTGACTTGGAAAATAGATCGAGGGGAGATAATTTAAGAATTACTGGACTACCAGAAAGCCATGATAAAAAAAAAAGAGCCTAGACATCATACTACAAGAAATTTACTAGCTGTGTGACTTTGGGCAAGTCACTTAATCCTATTGCCTCACCAAAAAAATAAAAAATAAATTATCAAAGAAAACTGCCCTGATATCCTAGAACCAGAGGGCAAAATAGAAATTCAAAGAATCCACCAATCACCTCCTGAAAGAGATTCCAAAAGGAAAACACCTAGGAATATTATAACCAAATTCCAGAGTTCCCGGGTCAAGGAGAAAATACTGCAAGAAGCCACAAAGAAACAATTCAAATATTGTGGAGCCACATTCAGGATGACATAAGATTTAGCAGCTTCTTCATTAAAGGAGTGAAAGGCTTGGACTACGATATTCTGGAAGGCAAAAGAGCTAGGATTACAACCAAGAATCATCTATCCAACAAAATGGAATATAATTCTTCAGGGGCAAAAGGATATTCAATGAAATAGGGGATTTTCAAGCATTCCTGATGAAAAGACCAGAGCTGAACAGAAAATCTGACTTTCAAATACAAGACTCAAGAGAAGCATAAAAAGGTAAGCATGAAAGAGAAGTCATAAGGGACTCAGTGGAGTTAAACTGTTTATATTCCTATGTGAGAAGACGAAACTTTCATGTAATTCCTAAGACCTGTATTATTATTAGGGCAGTTAGAAGGAGTCTAACAGAAAAAAAAATTAAGAGGTGAGAAAGAAGGATGAATGGGGAAAAAGAAAAAGGAAGAGGTAAAATGGGGGAAATTTTCTTTCATAATAGAGGCTTGCAAAGAAGAGCTTTCATAGTGGAGGGGAAGGAAAATGGTGGGGTGGGTTTGGCAGGCCACGCTTGCACATTATTCTCATCAGAATTGGTTCAAAAGGGAAGAATATATAAACACTCAATTGCAGATAGAAATCCATCTTACCCAATAGGGAGACAGGAAGGGAATAGGATAAGAGATATTGGGAAGGGGGTGACAAGGAGGAGGACCAATGGGGGGAGGCAGCAGTCAGAAGTAAGACAGACTTTTGAGGAAGGACTGCATAAGAAGAGAAAGATAAACAGATAAAAATGAGATGTAGGGAAATGCACAATTAGTGATCATAACTGTGAATGTGAATGGCGTGAGCTCACCCATGAAATGAAAACAGATAGCAGGATGGATTAGAAGCCAGAATTCAACAGTATGTTGTATAAAAGGGACCCCTGGGACAGGGTTACAATAAAGGGCTGGAGCAGAGGCCATCATACTTCAGTTGAAATGAAGAGGGCAGGGGTGGCGATCATGATCTCAGCCAAAGCCAAAACAAAACTAGACCTAACTGAAAGAGATAATCAGGGAAATGACATTTTGCTAAAAAGTAACATAGACAATGAAGTAATGGCAAAAAAAAAAATGATGGCAAGTTTCTCTGATAAAGACTTCATTTCTCAAATGTAAAGGGGAGATTGACTTCAAAAACCCCAAATAAGAAGTGATTTGTAGTGCTCACTCAAGCTGCTTTTCATCCCTCAAAGGATCCCATAGTTTTATTGATCTGTGGAAACAGAATTCAGACCAGACTCACTGAAGAACTTGGGAGCCCGGAAGAGATTCTGTAGGGACAGAAGGAGAAGGAGGAGAGGACAGCCCTGTCCTGGGATGCCTTGAAGGGGAGACCCAGAGGACAGGTGAGCTGGAAGGGGCTCAGGCCTTGGGCTGCCTTGGAAAGAGGCAGAGCCAGAAGAGAGGGGAAGGGAGACAAAGGCCTCCCTGGGGCCCCCTGGGCAGAGACCTTATGAGCTGGGCTGGCTGGCTCACATTCAGTTGCTGGACAGAAATCGGGCATCACCACTCAGGGCCTTCCCAGATCCCAAGGCTGCTTCCTCCCCATTTGGACCCTGGACTTTCCGGAAGATGTCTTGCCTGGAAAGGTGCCCTTGGAGGCTGCTGTTAGCCAGGCTGGGTCTCAGGAGGGCAGCTGCACCCTACTGTAGAAACATCAACCGTGACTTCTAAAGAAAAACCCAGATGTAGTCAAGGGCTAGAATAAGATTGGAGGTTGGAGCTGGAAAGAAGCAAAGAAGCAATGGAAGCCACCCTCTCATTTTACGGAGGAGGAAACTGCGGCACGAGGAGGTCAAGAAACATGGCCACGGTCACAGAGTCTTTCCGTGAAGCGCTCCCTCTCTCTGTGACCCCCACGTGGCCTCCGTACGTGTAGGGAAGCCTAGCTCTGGCTAGTGGGCGGCAGTGACTAAGGGTCCTGGTGTCACATAGACAGAGCTGACATCAAACCTGGCAGGCGGCCAGGTTCCCCTCCCCGCCATGCCAGCTGAGGACCTTTTCATCCCCCAGACCTTCAGAACCAAAATCCTCCACTGGAACCACATCTCTGTCCTGAGCATCTGTCTTGGCCTCGGGTTTATTCAGATCAGTCAGCCTGTGGTGCCGAAGATCATAACAGCAGAATCTGGTGCCAAGGGCACCAAGCCTCGATTCCACCCCATCTTCATCCTCACTGTGCACATGAGGGTCAGTGACTTGCTGGGACTCACACAGGTGGCTAGTGACAAGAGCCAGACCCAGAACTCAGGCATCCTCACTCCCAGCCCTAGACATCTGAGTACCTTCCACTGGGCCACACTGCCCCCTTGCAGGCCAGCAGCCTCCTGGATGAGGTGAAGCCTTTTTGTTCAGCACACACATAGATTTGGGGGGTAGAAGTCATTCTGATCAGACAGGCCACACACTCTTTCACCCACTTTGGCTCCTGCAGCATCTTTGGTGGGGGCGATAGGAGGCCTCCCTCCGCCTGCTCCTGTCAGCCTTTTTGAGGCTTATTTGGTGGTCCCCTCCCCACGGGGGGTCCCTGAGAACCACGGACTTGAGCTTGTCTGCTGACATCCGGGAAGCCAGTCCTGCTGGGCGCTCCTCCCAGAGCCACCTCCCCCCCCCCCCCCCCCCCGCAGCGGTCCTCAGCCCAGCCATGAGGATCAAAGAAGTGAGAAGTGCTTAGCGCAGCGCCCGGCGCATAGGGAGGTTAGCTATTATCTCCTTCAGATGAAGTGTTCTGGGAAGGGGTCCACAGATTTCACCCAACACGTAAAGGGTTAAGAATTGCCTCCAAGCCAGACCCACATCTCCCCCCCCCCCCCCGCTTGCTCCCGATGTCCGCCCGTTCCCCTCTCCCCCCAGCTTCCCAGCCCCGCCAGACTTCGGGCTCCCCAAGACCAGGGTCTGTCTTATTTAGGCTTTACTCTTCTTATCTAGCCAGGGGCTAGTGAATACTTGATCGAAGTTTCTTGGCTCATCTCTCTTCCTCTCTCCAAACCACAGTGACTGGTTTCTCCTCCTCACCTCTAGCTTGGGAGTTTATTGGCTAGGATTTTTAGCCAAGGACTAAGAGATCAGAGCCAGTGAACTTTGCCACCCCCAGGGGCAGGTTAGACTGCCCCCAAGGCCCCCCCCCCAGCTCTCAGCTTCGACAATGGCAGGAGAGCGCCCCAAAGGTGAAGAAAGGGAGGGGGGAGCGGGTTCGGGAAGGGTTCCAGATACACGGCCTGGGGGCCTTCTCTGAGAACCCTAGGACAAGAGAAGTGAGATCATCACGGTCACGAAAGGCACTTCAGCAGCCCTTGGAAACCTGGTGTCACCGACCACTCAAGTACCTGTTCTCTCTGACGTCACCAACGACCTGGACTGCTACATCGAAGCCCTTCTGCCTCCTCCCGGCCTCTCTCCTTCCTGGGCTTCCACGGCTCTCTGGTTCCCTCCTTGTTGGACCCCTCCTCTGTCTCCTTTACTGTCATTCTCTGCTCTGCCCACCCCCCCATCTCCCGTGATCTCATCAGGTCCCATGGGGTCAATCAAGACCTCTCTGCAGACAATTCAGGCCCACCCTACCCACTGTCTTCTGGACGTCTTGCAGGCTCTCAAACTCAATTTGTTATCCTCCCCCTTCCCCACCCATCCTCCCCACCGTCCTTCCGGTTGGCCACCCTTCGAGTGGCCCCTCTCCCACTTCGGTAGCCTCCAAATTGATCTCTCTGCCTCCATTCTCTCCCCCTCTCCAACGCCTCCTCCACAAATATGCCAAAGTCATATTTTTAAGCCACAGCTCTGACCATGTAACTGGTCTACTCAAGAACCTTTCATGGTGCCATACTGCTCCCAGGACACCCCTCCCCCGCCCCTCAGCTCATTCTCCTGGGCTGTTGCCAGGCTGAGCTCTGCAGTCTGACTTCACAGCACTGCCCTTCTGGGGTCTGTTCCCCACACACAACATCCCGGCTCTGACCTCCACACCTCTGGCCCGACATGCCCCTTTCCTGGAGTGCTCTCCCAGTTCCTGTCAAACCTCAGACCCAATGTCGGGTTCCTTCTGCCTCGCCCCCCATCACTGCCAAAGTAGTTGGTACATATACTGTATTTACTTCTCTGCCTGGACATTGTTTCTCTTCAGGGGGAGCCTTAACAACTGGGCTGGGGGTTCAGGGGAGTTGAAGTCAGAATTAGGCTTAGAAGAAATAGCATCCAGGAACTTTATTTCAGAACGTCAAGATTACTTCTAATAACAGCTAGTCACGACTTCAAATCTCAACAGTTTACAAAACAAACATCACATGATTTCAACATTTTAACGAAGATGTAGAAGGAAACAACAGATGATTGTGTTCAAGCTGGCACAGAGTAGATGCTAAATCAAAGCTCACTGAGGCTTGTTTGACTTCACCGTGTTTACGGTGTTTGTACGTAAATTCTACTTCGAATCCTGTCAGGTGTTGCAGCCTGGCAGCTGGCGGTCCTAGTATTTCGCATGGTAGAATTCTGCTTAAATGAACAAATTTTTAGATACTTCAAAAGCACAATCCGTTGAGAGAGAGACTTCAGGAAACACTGGCATATGCGATAGGAAAGACTGAATCCCAAAATGACAATAAACTGGGCCAAAGGGTCGCAATCAGCACACGAAAGCTTCTCCTTGAAAGGGCTCTGCTCTTGAATCTTTCCCCTCTGCACCGCGGCTGGAATTCTGTACTTCTAGGAGACCAGACACTTCTTTTGAAGGGATGAGACAGTGGGAGGCCCTTTTAGGAACAGGAATCAAAAGTGTACAGCCTGTCACGACAAGGAGCTCATGGTCTGTTCAAAGGATCTGATGTGCAGCACAAGGTTCCCACATGGAAAAGTATTTCAAAATATTTATTGTATGGCCCCCCTGATGTGACAACATTCATCTGCACTTGGAACTGTTTGTGAATGCATTTTAACATGGTGAGCATGATCCCAAAGTAAGTTTCTCCTCATAATGGATCTCGATTTTACTTTTAAAACCATTAAGGCAGAAGGAGAGAATGCCTGTTTAAAACTGCAGAGGCTAAAGGGTTTCATTCTATTTAATCTTAGAGCTAGAAAATTAAGGCTGCTGTGATTTTTCTTTACTCTGTAAAACGCTGAGATTAGCAATGGTATTGCTCGGGAATGCTAAACACATGAGTGTTTCCACCGATCCTGGATCATCAGCATCTGCCTTTCGGCCCACATTTCAATCTGTTCTTTCAAGTGGGAAGTGCCTCATGTCAGTTTTAAATGAGGTCTGAGGTAACTCAGAGCGTCTGAAGCTGGTAGAATAGTTGACTCTCGCCCAGGAAGACTCTGCTTGGTGGAGCCTTTTTGAAGCGTCACTTCCTACCACAATGTCCTTTGGGAATCTATCCAGGTGTGCCCATTTACACACATGGAGGTGCGTGGGCCCATTAAACCACAAACAACATGCATGGGCATTCCAGTCTCCTGGCTCCAAAGGTCCTGTCTATGCCTGCCAAGGTTCACTTCAGAGGTCTTCACGCGTGCACAGTTAGACCTTTCAAGAAGCCCAGCTGACTGACGTCAATGCCAGTATGTCTCCAGTGGCCCAGCTCTCCAGCACGGGAGGTCTCCCACCTCCAGCTCAGGCCCTTTGTCTGTGTCAGAGAGGAGGCCCACTCCATTTTTGGAGAGCTCTATTACAAGCGTTTCCTTACAATGAGCTAAGTCCTCTTCCAAACACTTGAAGATGGCTAAGCCAATGTCTTTCGACTGATCTTCTTTGGACATGATCTAGACACCTTCCTGGTCTTGGCTGGCTTCTGGTGGATGTTCAATGCCACTTCTAAAAGGCCATGCTCAGGATGGAAGACAATACTCCAGTATGGCCTGACCAGGCTGGAGCACAGTGGGACCATCACTCCCCTCCCCATATTCTGTACACACACAATGCTTCTCAGTGGAGACAAACATTGCATTAGCCTTTTGACCACCATTACACTTTGGCACATAGTGAACTTGCTGTCCATTAAACCTTGGTTATCTTTTCCAAACAAACTCTCCCTCCATATTTCTCCCATCTCATATTTGGGAAGCCAGCTGTCTCTTCCTTAGACCCAGGCCAAAGCTGCAGCTGGGTGAGCTCTCTTGGCATCTTCCCAGAGTGGAGTCCCTTATGGGATGGTAAATGGCCCGGGGCCAATGACCGGGCCTCGAGGCCCTCCATGAGAGATGCCATTAATGTCAATTCTGTGGGCGCAGTCCTTTACCCAATTCCATATGCATCTGATGACCGAGCCAATGATTTGTTGAAATCTAAACTCATCGTCCCCCCAAACATTCTCCAGGATAGTTACAGTTCATTTTTTTTTTCTGAATGTGCCCAGTATCTTGGAATAAGAATGTGCCCTCTCGATTTTGGTAGCAAAGCACGCTAAGGGCTGTGGAGAAAGAAAGGAGACACAGGTGAGCCCGGCTTGTGGGCATCCGTCACAATAGTGATTGTGTTGACCGAAAAAATAAAGGCTTTTGTTGTCAAAGGGATTGATCCTACATATCAAGTACACTGTCTTCATCTGGCAGGGCAGGGCAGGGCAGGGTCAAGCGTTACTCTGGCTTTCTTCCCTGTGCACAGTCTTATAGAAGCCCTCTTATCAGAAGACAGGCTTTCTTCTTCCCAAAGCTCATGCATCCTGGTAACAAATTAACGTTTGTTTGCGGCTGGGGAAGAGGCCCTGCATGCTCATACTGTGGCCACTGTGGGCACTTGAAGGGATTGGTCCAAGGACTGGGGCAGGGAGGAAAGACACACTTCAATCACCTTCCCAAGCTGAACATGACATCAACTGTAGCTGGGAGAGCTACCTCCAGTTTCTGAAAACAAGACCGTTTCTCAAACCAAGGCCAGCAGCCCTAGCCGGTTTGCGGCCATTTCTTCAGTCAAGTGTGAATCACCCCAAATGCCTGTACTAGGAAAACGGGCACTTCTCCCACAATCCCACAGTTGGACAGTTGGGGTCAGGACAGGGCGACAGCTGGCTCTGCCACTGCGGTCCATCTCGAGATTACACGGCTGCATGAAACCAGACTGAATACCCCATACGAAAAGCAGTTTCTGTTTTTCCCCATACCAAGTAGAAATTCCTTTTAATAAAAAGCTCCCTCCCCCCCATTTCTGATATCGATGCAACTAGTCAGCATTTATGAGCTTGCACTTAGGACAACCCCTCTCCCTCTCCTATAGCCCTCCCCCAACCAAGACCCTAAGTATTGCTTAAGAAAGAGAAGAGGCAGCTTTGCTCAGGGTGCTGGGAAGGGAAACACTTGCTTAGTTGAGACAATGGGGTGAGATGGAGGCAAAACTCATTCCTTTGACTTCCCAGGAGGTAAAAGTGAGGTGACCTGGCCCCAGCCCTCCACCACAACACAGAAGCGGTTCTGGAGCAGATAGAGCCAAAGTCTCTAGACAACAGAAATCAGCATTTGAACACTAGCCCCAGCTGGGCCTGGGTTCTCAGCAGAGCCGGATATTGGAATGGGGGAAGGCGGACTGTTTCACCCAGAAGGGAAGCAGAGAGTGAACTTTTCCCCCCTTAAAGAAACATTTCGGGGAAACTGTTTCAGGTTTATATTTTAACACACTTAAAAAACATTGCTGAATACTGCAGATCATCCTCACTGAAAACCCAGAATAAATCGCTGTTTACTTTATACAGTGTCTGACCCCAGCCCCGGCACGGCCGTGGCGCCCTAGAGGCGCGGCAGCTGCTAGTAGATGAGATCTTGGAGCTCCTTGTCCGTTAGCTCATTCACATCCATGATTTTCTGTAACTGTTCCATGTACCGTTCGTTGTCTTGCAGGAAATGCGGGACCCTCAGGTTTTCCGTGACGGCCAGCGTCTTCAAGCGCTCCACGTCCTCAAAGGAAACCTGGGGGAGGAAGATGGGAGTGAGTGCTACACTGCGGGACAACACGGGGCCCTGGCTCAGCGGGAGCCTCTTCCCCAGGTGGGACCCCGTTCACACAGACTTTTTAGGAGACTCTTCTCTGGATCTCAGGAGGTCAATTTTTATATGTCCTTCTGTTAACAGACACTACGGAATCTCAAGAGAAGACTTACTCATCTGAGCACTTTAACACTGAAAACCAGAAATTGTCTGCTGTGTTCCACTGGCCTAGTACATGAACTGCTATCAACTTCTTTTGCCACGATCACCTCATCTCGATGTCTATCGATAGAGTGTGCTCTCTCTTTCTCCCTCCTTTCTCTCTCTCTCTCTTCCCTCCTTCTATTCTCTTTCTCCCTCTCCATTCTTTCTTTCTCTCTCCCTCCCCTTCTCTTCATCCTTCTCTCTTTTTTTGTCTCTCTCCTCTCTCTTTCTCCCTCCCTCCCTCTCTTCCCCCTTTTCTGTCTCTCTCTTCTCTTTCTCTCTTTCCCTCCTTCTGTCTCACTCTTTCTTTCTTTCTCCTCCCTCTCTCTCTCTCTCTCTCCTCCCCCTTCTCTTTGTCTGTCTCTGAGATGTGGCAAGATTCAACGTAACCTTGTTTGGAAGTTGTTCATAGAATAATGGGCCTAGGGCTGACAGGGATCCCAGGGGGTGCAGAGACAGACAGGCAAGGCTATGCCCCAACTCACCACGCCAATAAAGTCAGAGCTGGGATCTGAACTCTGCTCTCCTGACTATCAATATGGCATTCTTCCTGCTGCAGGCCCTTGTCTGGGGGTTAGCCAAACCCACAGGAAAGTTGCTGCCCGCAGCCCTGAGTGGACGACACCCTCTGTGGCTGGCTGGTACTTTCTTCAGGGCCTTGGGAAGTGCTGGTTTGGATTTTTCCCAGGTCAAGTTATGGGCCTTTCTCTCTGCATAATAAAGACCCACCTAGAGGCTGCAGTGGGGGCTGGATGCTGGCCTGGCCTGGGACAGCCGGTGGCTACAGCAGCCAGGGAAGAGAGAGAATTTCAGCAGTTGTCGGGGTGGCTGGGCCTTGTCCTTGTCCCCGGCCGCATTCCCCGCCTTCCCTGGTTCTAGGGGCACTGAGGGTCCTTGGGCTGGATCAGATTCTCTTCTTTTCTTGAGATTCCCCTTGTCCCAGTGCTTACAGTTAAGTAGATACTCATGAATTAAGGAGGGTAAATTTGTCAAAAATACTATTACATTTACAAAATCCTTCGTGTCCCTTTGTCACACAATGTAAACACAATGACATTCCCTGTAACAGCCCAATGTGGTTGGTAGTACCAGTGAGAAAGTCTGGCGCCAGGGATCGGTCCCTGTACCCCAGCCTCCAGTTTTCTGCATCACTGCGCCAGCCTGGATCTCCTCCTAGAGAAAAACCTGGCCGCTCCGCTCCCCTGCCTGCCATGGGTGACTAACCCCAGAGCCGGCCGCAGGGTGGACAGCTCTGCTTCCTCCTGTCCTAGGGAGCCATCCTGCAGAGTGGAGCACTGTTTCATTTCTAAACAGACTCAGATATTCCAGGCACCAGCCTGATGGACCAGAAATGGGAGAAAAAGTAAACTTCCTCGACCTTGGCAGCAGGTGAGAACCGCCTTGATGTCCTGTTACAGAGAGGAACGGAGCCCTTTTGGGTCAATGCATCCGCTCCAGAAGCTCCAATTCAGCAGTGAAGCAGAGCACACTCCTCGGCTCCCGTTAAATGCTCAGCGGAGATGAGGAGATGAGCAGGCTGGGCTAAGGGGCAGGGGGCGGGGAAGGTGGGGTCCAGCGGCTCCCCATGGGGAGGCTCTCTGGGCCCTCCTGCCTCCCCAGGCGCCCACACCCCGCTGGGACGGTCTTAACCACTGACCTCGAGCCTGAATTTTCTGGGAAGCTCTCCCTCACTGCTCCTGGCTCTGTCTTCTGGGCTCAGGAGGACGGGTCTGATGCTGCTTCCACAGGCTAGGCTGTCACAGCCTTGAAAAGGGCCTCATCAGCCCTGACTCCTCTCTTCTAAGGTAACTGCTCTGCTCCCTGCAGCATGAGCCTGAGTTCCTCGGAGCCTCCATCACCTCCACTGGCCACATTCAATCAGCTGCTGACCTTCAGCCCCGGGGCCCTCAGCCCCTCTCACATGGCTGCCCTTCCCCCATCTCCTTCGTTGCCTCTAGGAGAAAATACGTGGTTTGTTCCATTCGGCTCATACTCTGCATGAGCTGCTCTTGCCCCGTGCCCCCTCCTCTCCTACCTCCTCCTACCTCTGGTGCCTGGGCACGGCCTCTCAGTCACCTTTTGGAAATCCAAGCTTCCTGCAAAGCTCAGCTCAGGGGCAGCTCCAAAATGCCCCCTTTTCTGAGGCATCCCCTCCTAATCACTTTGTATGTTGATACAAAGTATCTAACAGCAGCTGGGGGGTGGGCGGAGTGGGGGTGGGGGGTGAGCCATAGAGCCCAGGGCGCTGGGCCTCCAGTTAGGAAGATCTGAGTTCAAATTTGACTTCATACAGTTGCCAGCTAGGACCCTGGGAAAGTCACGCTGCCTGCCCCAGTTTCCTCATCTGTAAAATGGGGATCACAGTAGGTTTTGCCAGGCCCTGATGAAATCCCCTGTGGACAGCCCTGCCTGCTCTTACGCTGATCGTATGCCCTGGGAGAGGTGGGTGTCCGTTCCCCACCAGCAGGCAAGCTCCTTGAGTGAGGGGCTGTGCCCCAGAGCCTGACACGGGCGGGGACCGAATCGGGGAGCAAAGTCCCTTTGCCAATGCCAGTTAGCATGGACTCTGCAACCAGAGATGCCTGGGGCACAGGAAGGTTCACGTAAGACTTGTCCTGGGTCCATCACAGGCAGCACTTGAACCCCGGTCTTCCTGGCTGAGCGGCAATACTACCCCATGTGCCAGTGCCTGGCACACAGCAGCTCCTCAGGCATGCTTGTCTGGCGATGGACACTTTTCAAGTGATCTTTCTTTCCCCTCTAAACCAGGGGGCAGTGCTCCTGGAGTGGTGCGACGGAGGGAGAGGACACAGAAGCCTTGTCTCCCAAGTCCTGCAGCCACGCCCTCTGCTGACTCCTGAGGGGCTCCATCTCATTCAGATCAACCTGGCTTGCCCTCTGCCTCCCCTCTCCCCTTGCCCCTGTAAATACAGGACGAGCTGATTTATGAAGGCCAGGGTGTCCCTAGTGAGAGGGGCCCCTGCGTTCTAGCTCCCTGAGATCCTCTGGGATCCCGCCTGCCAGTGGCTGTCAGCCCTCTGGCCAGCTCTGCCTGTATCCAAGTTATTGAGAGACAACATTAAGCCACATGGGGCCAAGCACATGTCCTTGGGGAACCCTACAGGAGCCTCCCGCCAGGCTGACTTGAACCCACTGATGACAACTTTCAGGGGCTGGTAATTTAACTGGTTCCAAATCTACCCAACAAGACCATTGGCTCACCCACAACAACAGAATGAAAACCTTGGGAAACACGTGGCTAAAATCTAAGTAAACCGTATCTACAACCACCACCAAGGCCAGCTGCTGACCCCACTGTCCCTGACGATGCAAGATGGCCTGCCAAAGGGAAGTCACCAGGGACCTCGAAGGAGAGACAGAAGCTGGCGTGTGCTGGCCAGGTCAAGCCACGCTCCCTCTGCCCTCATCTATCACGTCCCGCAGCCCAGCGGTCACATGGGCAGGAGGCGACCATGGCCACTGTTCCCGATGACCCAGGGAAGAAAGCCATCACCATCCAAGTCCAGTGGTCCCACATCTGAAGCTCACATGACATGAGAAACAGGTGCGTTCCTGCGACTTTGCAGCTGTCTCTAGGAGACCCCGGGGCCCTTCCATCTGTCTTGTGGCTGAAGCCTTCCCTGTCCACGTCTCCTCCTCCGACAGACAGACAACGGGTTGTTGTCCTCCCTTCCTGGTGGCCCCAGAGCCTTGCTCAGCACTCCGACCCTAGCGCTCAGTAGAGAGCTTTTCACTCATTGCTTAAGCTCCTAGTCCAGCAACCCTGCCAAGAGAAAAGTTAGGCCTGTTCACCCTTTCAAGTCAATCCGATTCCAAATCCCTTTCTCCAGTCCTCTCAACAAGCCATCCCGTGATCTGTCTCACCATCCCACCATCCCACAGCACCGCTGCCTTCTGCAGCTGACCTCTCCGGGCAGGCCATCTATGCCCGTGTGGTTTCTGACCTCGTCGTTCTTCGACCTCTCTGGGCTGCCCAATCCCACGGCCTTTTCTTGCTCCCTGACCTGCTGGTAGCCTTTGACCCTGCCCATCCCTCTCCTCCTTGGCCCTCTGTCTGTTCCTCAGTCTCCTTGGCTGGGTCCTCCTCCCGGGCACGCCAGCTCGCCCTCCGTGCCCCCCAGGGCTCCGGCCTGGCCCCTCTTCTCACGCTGACCCCCTCCAGATCCGCTTGTCCAGGGCTCAGCTTTCTCCTGGCCTCTAGCCTGGCCTTCTCAACAGTCTGTTATAGGTTACTCTGATCTGGATGTCTCATAGACACTTTCAGCTCAGCAGGACCAAGCCAGAACTCGTCGTCTTCCCCGCTTGCTCACTGCTGCTGAGACCAGGCCCGTCCTCCTCCTCAGCCACGCCTGCGGCTGCCATCCCTGACTCGCCCTTGGTAGCCGCTAAGTGGCCAAGTCACCGTTCCCACCTTCTTAGATCCCCCTGCCCCTCGCCTGCTGGTTCCCCTCCCCAAGGCTCTCCCTGCTCAGCCATCACAAGGATCTGCCCAAAGCCTAGGTCGACTGCGTCCCTGGGGCCTCCACGACGGGCTTTGAAAGACCTTGCTCAGCTGGCCCCTTCCGACCTGTGCTGTCTTCTTCCGCCCTCATGATGCCGTGGCACCGCCTCCTCCAGGACCCGCTGCCGTGACCGCCTCATCTGCGTGCCGTGGATTCCTCCCAGTCTCCCCTAAGGTCCTACCTTCTCCAAGAAGCCTTCCCTCCTGAACTTTGCTGTCCCGTCTGCTTCTCAACTCTCTGTAGGCCTTTGCCTGTTGTCTCCTTTCGTTCTGGCCTGACTTTGTCTCCTCAGTGCTCAGCCGGTGCCTGGCACACAGTAGGGCCGGATCAGCGCGTGCTGACTTGACTTGTCTCAGGCACTGGCCACGTACCAGGTTGGGTGCTGGGCACACAGAGGCAAACAACAAGACAATCCTCCCTTCGAGGGACTCCTCCAGCTCACTGGGGATAACACTTCATGAAAAACAAATAGCAGCCGGTGCCTTGAAAGTGCTTTAAAGATTGCAAAGCACTTCATAAATATCTCATTGTGTCCTCACCACTACCCCGGCAGCTTGGCACTTTTATTATTTCCATTCTAGATGAAGAAATTGAGGCAGAGAAAGACTGAGAGGTTGGCCTGGGGTCAAAGAGCTGCCAGGGGTCTGAGGATTTAAGCCCGTGTGCCATGAAAGAGAAACGCAGAGCACCAGTGACTCCTGACGGCCCCTTCTCGCTCTGCGGATTTCCTCCTCTGGACTCACCAGGTGGTGGTTTGCCAAATTATTCACCACAGAAGTCACCAAGCAAAGAACAGAACTACGCCTGGCCTTTGTCTACAAAGAGATGGGACCGATGCTTCCTCTGCACTGCCTTTCCCACGCTGCATCAATGGAGTTCTTGGCTGCATCTTCCGCGTCTTCAGCGACCAGAGCACCGAGCATGTACGATGCCCCCTCCTCAAAGGTCTGAGCTCCCACCCTGCACGCAGAGGTGGACGATCCTGGGGCGCATGCCAGCTCAGAGCTCCTTGTGACAAGTCCGAAGGCTCACGGTGCCAGTTTGGATTCGAAGACTGCGTGACTCCATGGTGGGTTGGTGGTGCTATCCCCAAGGCCTCGCACATGCTCTCTCACATAGAGAGAGTGTTTAACAAACATTTATTTTCAGACTGAGCCACATTTTCCATCCTGCAAACCCTCTGTCTCGCCACTTCCCCCATGGAAGCCTGGATAAGCTGCCTCCCCATTTCCTGGTCTCTCCATCTGGGTCTCCAGATCCATTCTCCAGATCTGTGCCCTCCCCAGACTTCTCTGCAGACCCTCCCCATTCACCTCCTTGCGGTAACACAATCCTGCCTTTGCACTCCGGATGCCTCCCCTCTGCACTGCCAAGGCCAGGGAAGGGGCACACTGCTGTATCTGACCTCCCCCCACCTTTGCTCCTGCTCCTTAATCAACGCACAGCTCAGGCACCGACACCCTCCTCTCTCTCCATCGTCGCTGCTGCCACCTGCAGGCAGACAGGGCACTCAGGGACACCTGCACCTGGCTCTGCTCGGGCTCCCTGGCACAGCCCCAAAGCAGCACCTGGGCGGAAGAGGCTTGAATCAGACTACAACATAACCTAGTTGTGAATCAAATTCAGGAGAACTGACTCTTTTTATAATTAAATTTTATTGATGTTTTGGGTTAGGAAAATTGACTTTTATGTCTTCTGTTTCCTCTTCACCTATCACTTAGCAAGCCTCAGGTAGGTTCCTACAATGAACTCACATTTTTCCCTTGTGTTATTGTGCAAAAATGCAATTTAACAGAACTGTCGAGGTCTGAGCACATGAAGATGGCCCCCGGTCAGCCTGGGGACGGTGCTACCTAGCTGAGGATCCTTACCTTGCCCAGTGTAGTCAGCAAGTGAAAGTCAATGGAGTCTCTGTATCTCAAGATTTGGAGAATGCCATCCAGGTAGACTTGGTCTTTATTGAAACAACCTGATGGAGTCAAAGGGATACGTGGCTTTTTCACTATGGGAAATAACCTCACAGACAAACTCTTCTTCCGTGTTTGTGGACAGGGGGAACATCTCATAGACCAGAATCTAAGTATAGGCATCACAAGAAATGTGGAGTCTTGCCAATGAACAGGACAACTTTTAGCAATCCCGAAGTGGATCATCGCTCCATACGGACATCCCCTACTGTAACTTACCTAGATTCCCAACGTGCCCCCCAACCCCCCCAAGAAGCCACCCCTCCACGGCTCCTTCCCTGCAGCCCTGGGCTTGGGGCCATGGGATCTATCTAGAAAACAAACAGTGTTTAAGTAAGAGAAGCTGAGGAAGGAAGATGCTAAGCCGCAGGAAACAGTGTGGAGAGTCCTCAGCTGGCCACAGCAGGCAGCCTGGTTCCCCCCAAAGGGGGCCCCCTCCCGCTGCCTGCCGCTCTCCTCCACAGAGCAATTCATCTGGGTTAGAGACATGTCCTTTCTTCAAACTGCTTGTTTTTGGCAAACAAACCTTGACCTTCTCTCCCTCTCACTGAACAACTCTGCCCAGTCAAGTAGACCAAGCTCGTCCACCGGCCACGCCCCGAGTGGTGCCGCTGTCAGGAGGGTAGGCAGCAGTGGGCCACACGTGGGGCCCTTGGGGACCAGGCCGACCTTTGATGCCTCCTTGGCCCAGGCTGGTGCTGTTTTGTTCGGCACCAGGTCAGACGAAGGCTCCTCCCCCACCTTCCGTGTCTGCATAGACTTGTGTGTGTGTCCCGTGATTAGGAGAGAAAACAAGCCCCCTTCTTCTTTGAGTCAGGTAGTTACTAAGCAATGATGAAGCACATCCTCTGTGCCAGGCCCTGTGCTAAGTGCTGGGGGTACAAAAAGGGGCAAAAGACAGCATCTGATCTCGAGGAGCTCAGTCTAATGGGGGAACAGGAACAGCCAGGTACAGACGAACATCGCCACAGGGGAGGCCGTAGAATTAAGGGGGACCAGGGAAGCCGCCCCGTGGATGGTGGGACCTGAAGGATGCTGGGGGAGGGGAGCATTCTAGGCCTCACGGGCAGAGCCTTGTCTAAGGGACAGTGCCACTGACTGGGGAGCATATGAGGGGCCGGAGAGGGGTGTGTGGGTGTGGGGGGAGCGCTTGGAACATCCCAAGGGACTTTATGTGGGAGCCGGAGTCGCTGGGGCAACACGCAGGCTGCTACGAGCTGCGGCTGTGGGCCCTGTCACCAGATCATCCCCCCAGGGCCCGCCACCTACCTTGGCCCTTCGCCAGCCCAGGCTGACGCGGTATTCCTCAAGGGAGGCTCGAGCCATGCTGCCCCCACCCCACTGCCCAACAGCCACCTACACAAGCTCTGGTTTCTGGCTTCCACCCTCCAGCCAAAGCCAGCTTGGGGTGAGTGCGCCCTCTCCTCAGGCAGACCCAGATTCAGGCTGCAGCTGGGGGTCTGTAACCCTGCTTGTATCATGAGCCCCTCTGGCATTCTGAGATTTGGAAAGGCAGACGAGCCCAATCCCAGTGAAATACAATGATCAAATATGGGGTCACAGACTCCTGCACTGCCCCCCCCACCCTAGGAGAAGTGAGGTCGTGACAGCAGTTAGCAGAGGGCTGTTCAATGTTCACAGAACAGAAAAACCTCAGGAACGGCCCTTACCGGGTTGTGAAGTGTCAGTCCAGCCTCTTTTGGCTCGTACGCAGTAATCCCACCGTGTGTTGGGGTCCTTGACAAATTTTCCGACGTCCTGGAAGAGCTGGCTGAAGGACATCTGGCTGGCCTGGTAGACAGTGTAGTACAGGAGAGCAGCCCTCCACAGGAGTGGGTCCTTTCGGAAGAGCACGCTGTGGATGCTGGCCAGCCCCTCCTCCGTGGGGTTATTGGGCCGCAGGCCATATTTTTTACGGCCCGTCCAATTGCTCCACGGCTGCTGAAGATTGTTGATCCCACGAAAGTAGTGTGTGCCTACAAAAAAGCCAGGAGAATCGGGTCCTAAGGCAAAGGAACCTCTTCTTTTCCACCGTTCAGCAGAACAGAGATGTGGAGTGGATTCAAGACCTAAGGCCCTGACTGTGCCCTGGTCTCTTTTGGTTACAGGCAGACCTGACTAAAAAGATCACATGCTGCATGTTGGATGGCGCGCCTGCATGTCCGGTCCGTTTGCAAAAGGAAGAACTGCAGATCTTGGCGCTGATCTAGCCTGGCTGCCTCGTTTTCCCTTGTTTGAGGGGGCCTGCCTAGTCAGTAGCCTGACTCGGATTCCTCTGAAATGTGTTTAAATAGCTTGACTTCAAAGCCGTGGGATGGTGCCGGGAAGAGGCAGCAGCTATAAAAGGTCAGTGACAAAGAGAAGCCCTTCTCCAAGATGACGCCCAACCCAAAGGGGAAGGCTGTGTTTACCTATTTCGTGCCTCAGCATCCCCTCCAGCCAGTGCTCACGGGCAGTGGACACGTTGATGGTCAGGGTTGGACAACCGTTGACCACCGTCATTGATGCTCGGGACAGCAGATCTTCAGTGAGATGAACCACAATCTAATGAACAAGGGGGACAGAGAAGATGGCTGGGTCCTTTCCCAGAAAGCCCTCCCTGCCAGGGCCACTCTAACCAGTACTGTTTCCTCCTCACCTTGAAGGTCCGAGAAGCCAGAAAACAGGGCACGAGAGCTGAGGAAGTGACACCCTTTGGGCAGTGGGGGAAAGCAGAGCTCCCTGGGGTGTTGGGGACCCCTTGGCCTCTACCAGGAGCATGGTGCCTGGGGTGGGGGGGAGGGCCCACATTCCTGGCTTCACCTCGAGTGCCCGAAAGGTTTTTACAAGTGGTAGCCAGCATCTGTAGGGCTGCCCCTAGTGACGGCCAAAGCAAACACCTCCCCAAGCCAAGGGGCATCACAGCAGGAAGCTACCAGCATAGAGGATCGCTGGTAATGTCTGTAAGAGAACTGGCTTTTGTTGCACACATTTCACAACCCTGAATCTGTTCAATTCCCCATTCAAACTGGTGCCCATCTGGTTAGTGAATTGGCCAGAGGATGAAGAAAAAGGCAGAGGGGGAATTAGGTCAAGAAAACAGTGCACACACACACACAGCACATGCCTCTCCTCAACCTGGGTTGGTCCAAGGACAGTTGAGGGCAACTTGGTGACCTGGTGAGGATTAGGAAGGTGCAACTTCTATGATGTACTCTTTTTTTTCCTCCAAATTCATTATTATTTTTAAAACATTCTTTTAAAAATTTTTTGAGTTCCAAATTCTCTCCCTCCCTCCACTTTCTCTCCCACTCGTTGAGAAGGCGAACTTATGGTCGCCATTACACATGTGAAACCATGCAAAACTACTTCCATATTAGCCATGCTAAAAAAAAAAAGTAAAAAAATGACATTTCACTTTGCCCTCAGACCTCATCCGCTCTCTCTCTGGAGGTGGGGAGCACTTTTCATCATGAGTCCTTTGGAATTGCCTCGAATTTGTGATCTACTCTAAGGCCATTTCCCGGTTGTCGGTTCACTGGTAAACCACCGTTCTATGGAGGAGGATAAGTGTTGGAAGCGGCTCGTACCACCTACCTCCCCGAGGCAGCCTTCCTTGGTCATATACTTCCTCACGTGACTCCAGATGCGAGTTTTAGACAACAAGCAACCTCCGGTAGCCTGTTCAAAATTTTCATAACTCCCATATCTCTGTAAAGTTCTTTCCATAATATTGACAGACTGTGAAAGATACAGACATAATGAAATTAAATGGATACACGTACGCCTTAGGAATGATGCATTTTTGTAGTAACTCATTCTGCCTCCTTGGTAATGACCCCAGAATACTGGTTGGATTGGATCCCATGTTTATTGAGGTAAAATCGGGTCAATACATTCCTCAAGCTTTCAGCCATTTTTAGTCACCTTAAGACACGCACACACTTCGCTGTGGGGGACCCGACATACTTTACAGACATCTCATGAATACTTCTAAAGCCATGAGGAGGTGGATTTGGTACAGGTATTAATTACTATTATCTGCAGTTCAAGGGCTGAGAAGCTAGTAGAGAATACTTAGCACTTCTAAGGTCACCACGTGATTGGCTGGAGAAGGAGCAGTGGAAGGCGGGACTCCTGACTCCCTGTTTATTCACTTATGACGACTGTCTACACAGAGATGGAGAAGACTTTGGAACCACTTTTATTTTTCTTTAAAGGGAAAAAGCAAAACAGCTGAATCATCTTCTACACTAACCCTAAAGAAGAGTTTTAATTTCAAAATAAGTCACTTTTAGGGGCAGCTAGGTGACACAGTGGATAGAGCACCAGCCCTAGAATCAGGAGTACTTGAGTTCAAATCCGGCCTCAGACACATAACACTTACTAGCTGTGTGACCCTGGGCAAGTCACTTAACCCCATTGCCTAGCCCCCCCCCACAAAAAAGAAAAAAAGTCACTTTTAAAGCAGGCCTGGATGACCAAGGCACTTAAGTGCCCAACACTCATGTTCTTTCCCCCATCTCTACCACATGACTCATTTGGGTTATTCCTGCCAAGGAGGCCTCAGTTTCTCCACCTGTTAAACTGAGAAGGGTTGATGTTAAAGGTCTTGGTTCTAAGATGCTCTGCTTAGGAACCCGATTAGCCCACCGGACCTGCCAGGGGCAGGTGAAATGCTGCTCCCCCCCCCACCGGGCATCACAACAGCCAGAGCCGAGTCCACAGGGGAAGGAGAAGCTGGGTGCTCAGTCTGCCTCCCCAGCTTCTGGATCTTCTTACCTGGGTTCAGGGTTTACTCTCAAAGTGATGGGGGAGAAAGGACTTGGATACAAACAGAACAAACATTTATCGTACAGATAAAGTTGGGAGAATCCCGACTTTAGCTAAGACGTGGGCCTCGTACCTTCAAGGAGCTGAGAGGCTGCTGGGGAGGGGGGAGACACAGACAGCCATATAACCCCACAATCCAATATCAGAGGAGCTGAGAAGCCCGTGGTCCCCAAAGGGAGGGGGCAGACAAGGCGTCTTCGGAATACAACAGAAAAAGGGAGCACCGCACCCAGGGGGTCCCGCTGAACCAAAGGGTCCCTGCTCTGGCTGGACTACAGACTGCGTGGAATGGCATAATAGGAGATAGGTACCAAACCGTACCCAGCCCCAAACGCCAGGCAGAGGTGCCTGAAGCTTACTCGGGAGACAACAGGGAACCCCAGGAGAGTGAGTGGACCAGATGTAAGCAGTAGGAGACGTGAAAGATGGACACCCCAGGGGCAGCGAGGTGGCACAGTGGATAGAGCACCGGCGTTGGAGTCAGGTTGACACTAGCTGTGGGACCCTGGGCAAGTCACTTAACTCCTATTGCCTCACCCCCCCCCCCAAAAAAAAAGATGGGACACACCAAAGGAGGATGGAAGAAAGCATGCTGCCCACTGGCCATTCTGGGTTCTGGCTTCTGTGTGTGGGCAGGTCCTTCAGAAGACACAGTGATGATGCTCTGCTAAGAGACACTCCTAACGCCACTGTTATTCCGGGGATGCTAGATGGCTGGAAGCTTGGAGAAGTCACAGTCTCATGGAGCTTCCCATTCCATGAGGGCACTGGAAGGATGATGGAAGGCAGGCTTCCACAGGCCACAGCATATTGCTACCATTGGCCTGCATCTGCTGAGTAGCCTCGGAGGCAAAGGCAAGGCCAGGCAGTTGGCTGTACTGGGGTCCAGAGGAAGGCAGCAGAGCCTCGGGGCTGAATTCCCAGGACACCAGGGCAGACTTTTCGTAAGCCGAGTAGGCCAGGTAGTTGTCCTCTGTCCCGGTACAGGGGCAGCTATGTGGATGAATGAGATCTCGGACCCCATGGAGTTTATAATCTATTTATCAGCAGTTATTGAATGAAGCCTGAAGAAACCCTCCCTGTCCCCATCCTTGTGCTCTGGTCTTCCAGACAAAATGGTTTTCTGCCTGCTATCTGGGAAGTGCTGCTCTGGGCAGTGAGACTCAGTCTCTTATTTGTGGCCCCTCCCTCCAGGAAGTGCTAATTCTGTTCAGTTCAGTTCGATAGCCATCTCGTAGGTGCCCGCCGTGCACGAGGCCCCGCTCTGCTGTGGAAGCTGCCAACGCCACTCTGGTAGCACTGACCAGCGACAAGCGGGCTGGGCGGGAGGCCAGAAGACCTGAGTTCAGATCCTGGCTCGGCACGGATCCATCACCCTGCAGCATGCATGTGCGCTAAGCTCTGGCATTCAAAGACAAAAGGAGATCGGCGCCTGCCCTTCTAAGGGGGCACCTGGTCCCTAAAAGGAGGGAGTTCAGATGCCCTTTAGCCGCGGCCTCGTGGGATGGATTAAAGTGAAAACCAGCTTTTGAATCGCAAAGAAATAGCGCCACCTGCTGGACCTAGCACAGGCTAAGCAGGAGGGGGGCTTTCATTATTTTGTTTTTCTTTGCTTGAGCTCTTCCAAATCAAACGCTAGGACACGTGTTCTCTGTCGGAGGGGACCAGGTGCACCTACAAGCAGCCGCTGCCGCCCTCAGCTGCTCCCCCTGCCCCAGGCCCCCTCAAACTGGAAAGCAGGGAGGTGGCGGGGCTGACTGCCTGGAAGGAGACCCCTGAAAGGCGCCCCCTCCTCTGCCCTAAACCCGACTCTTCTCCAAACAGCGGGCTCCTGCCCAGAGGCCCCCACGAGCTCCGTGAAGGCGACTGCTCCCCGCGCTGCTGAGCAGGGACGAGGGAGAAGGGCTGAGCCGGAGCCACCTTGCACAGCGTGGGGGCCAAGGCTTGCTGCCAGTCTGCCCCAGCGCCTGCCCCCACTGTTTGTCTGCTACTGCTCCCCTGGGCGGGCAGCTGTGCCCCGGAACCAGACTCCTCCACAATTCAGTCCAACTCAAGGAGCCCTGACCCATCCCCTCCCCCCTCCCGTGTGGCCTGGGCGGCTGAGTGGGGACACAGAGACCAAAGTGACCACAAACCGACCACAACCTCCTCCCTGACATCGAAAGGGAGCAGATGGGAAGACAAAGGCCTTGCTTACCCAGGATCTTGTGTGGGCTGGTGGACCAAGACTTGACTGCAGTCAGGGGAGAGGCAGGCCCAGGTGCTGCCTCTGTCACTTACCAGCTGTGCAAGCCTCGGCTTCACCATCCATAAAATGGGGAGAATCATACCTTTGGTGGGGTGGCTAGTGGTGCGATGGATAGAGTGCCAGGCCTGGAGTCAGGAAGACCTGAGTTCCAATCCAGCCTCCACACTTACTAGCTGTGTGACCCTGGGCAAGTCACTGAACCCTGTTTGCTTCAGTTTCCTCATCTGTACAATGAGCTGGAGAAGGAGATGGCAGAACCACTCCAGGATCTCTGCCAAGAAAACCCCAAATGGGGTCACAGAGAGTGGGACACGACTGATCAGCAGCAATGCAGCTGAAGTAGCCACGTGATGGGGCTGCTGTGAAGACCACAGGAGAACATACGTCCGTAAACCTGAAGGCCCCATCGAACGCCATCGACCACCATGACGACACAGGATGCTAAGAGAGGAGCGGCAGCCACTCCTGCCCTCGGTTAACAGCCTGCGTTCTCGGCAGCCACACGGCTGGGGTGGGGCCGGAGGCTCCCAGCGTGGGCAGCTCCCCTCGGCTGAGGAGGCTCCAGCCCAGCCCCAGACCCTGCCATCCGCACGGGCCGAGCACCAGTAGGTTGGCCGACGAGAGCCGACCTTTCGGGGCCGTGCCTCATGAGACCGTCTCTTAAGCCTCGGGAGCTGTCGGGGAGACGGGCCCCTTCCTTTCGAAATCCTAACGCCCCACCTTTGAAAAAACAATCTGGGTGTCGGCCAGCCCTACGCTCGCTGGGCCCTGATACCCAGGCCAGAAGTTTCGAGCCGGAGCCACACGGTGCCATACCTGCTTCAGGAAGCGGTCGGACGCCTGGCCGTGCTTAGCCAGCACGGCGGGCACGGTGGGGTTGGCATATTCGAACTGAGGGTCATAGGCGAACTCGGCCTTGAAGAACTTGGCCTTCTCTCTGTCCAGGTTGGTGGGTTTGATGGCCGTCAGGATGCAGAGCTTCCTGGCAGGGTCGTCTCCCTTCTCAAAGTTCTTGGGCACTGGGGGAGGCTGTTTGGGCTTGGCCAGCGCAGAGAGGTAGTGCCCCTTGGCCTTGGGCTTGGGCTTGGGGGTCAGGCTGCTTCCGCTCACAGCGAAGCTGCTGGAGAACCTGACGTGGCCGGGCAGCGGGTTACTGACAAAGACGGAAGGCTGTTTGCTCAGGCAGCAGCAGCTACCATCATCCAGGGGCCCGGGTGCCTTGATCTTGCGGGGGTTCTGCTCCTTCCCACGCGGGGAGCCGGGAGACCGGCCAGGCTTTCGGTGCCGCCGGTGGCGGGCCGGGGACGACGGCTTGTGGAGCTGGCTCTTCTTCTCCTCTTTGGACTGGAGCAGGACATTGTAGCTGCTGGTTCCAGTTGTGAAGATATCTTTTAGTATTCCAGAGGCCAAGTGCGAAACGTCGTCTTCACAGTCAATGATCAGCTTCTCTCCGGGGCTCAGAAGGGACTTATTAGTCGATTCTTGTTCGGGCCAGTGAAGCTTTTCTGCAAAAGAGACGAGGGCAAGGTGACTCGTGTGGTGAGGGCCTGACGACCAGGTGACTTGGGACAAGTTTAAATGCAAGAGGTGTAAGCCCCACTGACCATCTGTGCCTTTACAGTGAGTTCTTTAAGGTAATGACTTTAGGATCTAAATACCACCCTATGTATAGGAACATCTTTTTTTTTTTCTGACTTCAACCCTCCAAGTCCACCCTATTCAAACAATGAAAACATTTATTAAGCACTTGCTGCATACCAGCACAGGGGATACAAAGCCAGGCATTTTAAGGAAAATCCTCGATCTCAAGTTCACTTATCTATCCAAGTTCTAATTACACAATATACAAATACATTTATCGACAGAAGTAATTTAATCCAGAATTCTATTAAATAACACATCACTCAATGAAAGAGTACAACGAAAAATAACAAAAATCCAAGGAAATTCCTGACCATACCACTTTGATAATTCACTCTCATTGGAAGTAACATCTACTGCATTTAATGAAAGTTTTAGCTGTGGAGCATTTCCAAAGCCTCATTCGACATCATCCCGATGCTGACCAGGAAGAGCACCTCCTTCCCATTTGCTTTCCCAGACGTACAAACAATTCCCATGCGGGGCTGTCCGTGCCACCGAAGGGTGGGTGGCAAAAATGAGGGTGCCAGCCGTGGCATCGGGAAGCCACTCAGCTGTGTGCCCTTGGACAAGTCCCTTCACCTCTGTCTCAGTCTCCTCGTCTGGAAAATGGGGATCATAATGGCATCTCCCTCCCGAGTTGTTGTGAGGATCCAGTGAACTAGCAGATGTTATGAAAGTGCTTTGCGCGTGCTATCACACCCTCACGCCACTCGTGACTGGCGGCACGTGGGAGACTTCCCACCTACATAACGGGCTGAAGGTCTGGTTGGGGAAGCAGTCCAGCTAGGGGGTCAGTCAGCAAGCAATCGTCCCATGCTTCCTGCGTGCCCTGCGCTGTGCTGAGGAGCCGGGCAGCTGAGAAAAGGCAGCAACAGAGGCAAGATTCTGATGCGGCATGGAAAGAACTAGACACATGGAGGGCTGACGGAGAGTGGATGTTAGGGGCCAGCAGCTGGGGCGGGGCACAGAAAGAGCACCAGCAGCTGGGGGGGGCACAGAGAGAGGAAGGCACCAGCAGCTGGGGGGGGCACAGAGAGAGGAAGGCACCAGCAGCTGGGGGGGCACAGAGATAGGAAGGCACCAGCAGCTGGGGGGGCACAGAGAGAGGAAGGCACCAGCAGCTGGGGGGGGCACAGAGAGAGGAAGGCACCAGCATCTGGGGGGTCACAGAGAGAGGAAGGCACCAGCAGCTGGGGGGGACCACGGAGAAAGCAAAGCACCAACAGCTGGGGTGAGGGCGCTGGAGAAAGCAAAGCACCAACAGCTGGGGGGGCACAGAGAAAGGAAGGCACCAGCAGCTGGGGGGGGCCCAAAACATTTTAAAGAATCACTGAATTTGAGGTGCTACACAAGATCTGTCACATACCCAGTAACCCAGAAGCATCATGCCCCATAGGGATCCCCACTCAAACATACCAACAAGTGGTTTCCTGCCTCTACTTGAAGACTGACAAGACGGAGAAGCCCTGCTCCCAGAGGCAGCCCCTTCCACACTGGGAAAGCTGCAGTTGTCACCATGTTTGTCCTGATCCAGGGGCTGACGGCTCTTTGCAGCTCCGGTCCATCACTCCTGGCCCGGTCCTCTGGGATCCAGCACAGCAGTCTGCTCCCTCCCCTAAGCCACAGCCCTTCAAATACTCGACCGCAGCTAGCTATCCTATCCCCCGTGACTGTTCTCTTTTCCAAGCCCCATGGCTGCAGTCTTCCCATGACATGACCTCAGAGCCCTTCACCATGATGGCTGTCCTCTTCTGGACACTCTCCAGCTTATCAAACATGAGACCCAGAGCTGAACCCAAGCCTCCAAGTGAGCCCTGAGCAGGGCAGAACACAGAGGCTCTCACCAGCTGGTTCGTGGACACTGGGCCTCTCTTCATGAAGCGCCATGCCGAATGAGCTCCACCAGGCACCCCAGCCCTTTGTCCTAATTGTTCTCTGATCCCATCTACCCCACCTTACACTGAAGCAGACCCCGACTGAAGTGAAGCTGCTTTTTGCAGCCAAGTACGGGTTCACTTGTATCCTCAGGGAATTCTGTCTTACTGGATTGAGACTAATGCACCAGAAGGATCTGACAAGGATTCCTCCCAGTGCTGCATGTCATCAGAGACCCCTTTCTCCAAGTCACTGATACCAACAGCAAGTAGCCCAGGGTTCATGCAGAAGCCTGTGGCCTCCCCACTGGAGCCCTCCTGCCACACTGACATTGAACCAGCCCACTGCGAAGCCATCAGATTGGATGGTCACCATGTCCCCATCTCTCCATCTCCACAAGGACAGCATGAGATAGTTTATCAAATATCTTGCTCAAGCATAAACAGCATTCCCTTCTCATACCAATTTAGGAATTCTGATAAAAAATAAAAGTTTGGCATGAGCTCTTCTGGATGGAGCCATATTGGTCTTTGAGCCATCCATTTGCCAACCATCTTTCCAATGACTAATTTCAGAATTTTCCCAGGAGTTGAAGTCAAGCTGACTGGCTCTGATCTCTTTCCCTTTTCCCCAGAAAACTGGGATAACATTTGCCCTTCTCCAGGCTTGGATGAGCTCTCTCGGTGTTCCAGTGGCTCAGGAGTCCTATCTGCCAGCTTTTCAGTACACAAGGAAAGAGTTCATCTAGGTCTGGTGACCTGAACCCGGCAAAGGCAGCCAGAGTGGGCTCTCTTACTGTCTCAGATGTCAACACGTTTTTGTTTGGTCATTTCCAGGGCAGAGAAAACCAGCAAAACCAAAACCTAGCGGCTCCAGCTTCTCTCTACTGCCCATTATCATTGGCTGTAATACAAGGTGGTAAGTGACCAAGTGCCCAAAGGAGTGGCACAAGGTAAGCAGTATTGTAGAAACAGGGGAAGGCTGGCCCTGGGCAGGGACTTCACAGAAGCTGAGGTGGGTCTTTCTTTGAGTCCGGAAGGAGAGCCCGGTTTGGGAGAGGTGGAGTATCAGGAGAAGGGAACAGTATTAACAGAAGCCAGGGGAGGAGAAGGATCTGGCAATGTGGGAGGTAAGTAAGTCAGGCTTGATGGAAAAGACAGCAACGTTTCACTCGGCCCTTGTCAATACTGGGGAGCCACTGAAGGTTTGGGGGCAGGAAAGTGGTGTGATGAAAAGTGATTTCAGGGAGCCGAGTGTCTTGAGGGGATGTGGGAAAAAGGACCTTAGTGCTCTGTGAGTGGAGCTGTGAACTGGTCCAACCATTTGGGGGAACAATCTGGAACTATGCCCAAAGGGCTATAGAGCCTCGCATACCCTTTGACCCCACAAAGCCTCTCCTAAGTCTGTATCCCAGAGAGATCAAGAAAATATTTACAAGAGTTCTTTTCATAGTGGCAAAGGATTGGAAACTGAGGGGATGCCCATCCGTTGGGGAATGGCTGAGCAAGTCATTCCTATGATGTTGTGGAAATGATGACGGGGATGGTTTCAGAAAAACCTGGGAGGATCTGGGAGAACTGATACAAAATGAAGTGAGCAGAACCAGGAAAACAATGTCCACAGTGACACAATATAAAACGCCATCTGCTTCCAGAGAGAAGACGGACAGCCTCAGAGGCCAGTCGGCAGAATGACCCTGGGCCGTTCATTTTTATATAGACTTTTAAAAAAATTGTATTTTATTTTTTCCAATTATGCGTAAAGATACTTTTCAACATTCATTTTTTATAAAATTTTGAGTGCCCAATTTTTTCTCCCTTCCTCCCCTCTGTGTCCCCAAGATGGCAGGAATCTGATGTAGGTTATACGTGTACGCCTTTCATTTTCTTAGGAAGACTTTTCCCCCCAAGGAGTGGCAAGTAGGATGGCTTTTGAAGCCTTTGCCCCAAAGAGATCAAGGAGCAGAAATAGTGACAGCAGCAATTTTTGTGGCAGAAAAGACCTGGAAACTGACGAGGTGCCTGCCCATTGGGGAATGGCATCTAGGTGGGGAATGCATTGAGCTATGGAGAGATTAATTAGAAAGCTACTGCCACAGCTCTGGCAAGAGCTGATGAGGATCTGCACTAGGGGGTGGCCAGGGGAGGGAAGAGATGGGGGTGATGCAGAGATTCTGGAAGGTCAACATGACTAGATGTGTTGGTAAAGGGGGTGAGGAATGCTAGCTGATAATGACAGGTCACAAGCCTGGGTAACTGGGAGAATGGTGATGCCCTTAACAACGAATAGGAAAGTTGGGGAAAGGAGAAGTTTTGGGGCAAAGCTAATGTGTTCTCTTTTGGACAGGCTGAGTTTGAGATGCCTGTGGGACCTGAGACTGAAGATGTCCAAAAGACAGCGGGGAGAGAGGGAGAGGGAGGCAGAGGGAGAGAGGGAGGGAGGGAGAGAGAGAGGAAGAGAGAGAAAAAGAGAGAGGAAGAGAGGAGAGAGAGACACACAGAGAGACACACAGAGAGACAGAGAGAGAGAGAGATATGGAATATACAGTTATCCCTTCCACATCGTGAGGGTTAGGGGTACAGTATCCCCACGATCTGGAAAACCCATGTAAAATTTTTTGGCCCTCTCGTCATTCCAGAGCAATCTGAATCATTGTGGTATTAAAAGATAAAATATGTTGATATTATGCAATACTGTACATATGCTTTATGCATTTCTGAGTTCCTAAACTTTTTCTGTGTCGTCTGCTAGCCCTTGCATGTTGTCTGTGGCTTCTGCAAAACTCCCCCAAAGTTCCCATTCAATTCCTTATGCCAACTGGTGATACATTGCAACCTCGATGGGGAAAATCCTGATGTGGAAGGGACAGCAGTATAGAACTGGGAATCATCTGCATGGAATGACAGTTGAACCCACAGGCGCTAATGAGATCACCAAGCGAAACAGCAGAGAGGGAGAGGAAGAAGAGGCCCCAGGCCTGCATGTG